TGTTCAGAATTTTCTTACGGATCTTCCAATACGCAATTAGAAGTTGCTTGCTACAGCCTCGTCAAAAGATTATTCGAAACTTGCTGCTTAATGAGTTTGAATTGGATCATAAAGCCGAAACTGGCTAGACTATTCTGCAATTTATCACCAGTGGATTTCCTCTTATTCAATTCACTCCAGTAATATTTGCATAAACGATGATTCGCCGCTGTTTTGTCTCTTCGCGAAAGTTTGAATAAATTTTCGGATCAGGGAAGTTGAACTTTGGAACCGCGCTATTAGTTTGCTGCTAGAGAAGTGACAAAATCTTATGATTCACTGTTGCAAGAATAGTAGGGTTATGACACTTCATAGAGCCAATCAGATCCGGGAGACATTCTGGGTTCACCTGTCAATCATAACCGATACAGTAACTAATGTTGCAATGAGCAGCACTAATCTCCGTTTCTCATTTCGATGATTATTAAGTACACGATTTCAGTAAAAACGGCGATGCTCCTTTTCTGTTTTTGTTTTCTTTTTTCTGTACACAATTTTATCCTATTCATGTTCACTTAGCCATCAATATTGGTTTACAATTTCATATAGTAACTGAATAAATACCTTCTAGAACCCAAACGAATCGGCCGAAGATGCTTTTTTGATGTATCTGACGCGAGTCGAAGGATTGGCTCAAACGTTACGGCTTAGTCGATTCACTGCCAGTAGCCATCTGATTGAAGCCGTCACCTCTCCGTGCCTTCTGGCCGATGAAAATTTCATGGCTCTAAATTCGGAAGTGGTGAGTGAGAACCTCGAACATTCATTTCTATTGTTTTATCAACCATTGTAACAATTTTTAAGTTCATTGATTTTATTATTTGTTTTATTGATTTTCGTATTGTTACCGGTCCCTAGAATAGATGTACTCTCAATGTTGGCTGTAAACAATTTTGTAAAAGAATTATGGTGGAACGGGCAAGAACGTCAAGAGGCCCCGCAACCTTTGCCGCACTAGCCAAGCTTCGGAATTAATTACACGTTGAACGAAATCTTCTGCTTCACTCAGCCCGTCCTGGTACAGGCCTTGGGTCGGCGAAAAATTATATATGCAATTGGAAAGGCGGGAGGGACCAGCTGAGGGCACGGTTATCCACAAAGTACTGAAGGCACAGGTAGTCAGTAGATGTAGCTTGCCATCAGCTGCTATAAAGTAAGACGAAGCAGCTCAAACTTGATACCGGACATATCAGCTACATTATGCCACTTTTACCTTTCTCTAAGATTACGCACCTTTCACCTTTTCACACGCCATGTGAAGATCCTGCTCTTCATGAAGAAATCGCGCCACTTCTGTGGGTAAGGCCGTTTGACGCTCACATGGACCTTTCACAGTTGGAAGACATAGAACAAATTTTCCGCGATTTGAGCGTTCATTTAGTGGACCGCTCTCGCTCGCACAGTTTTCGAATTGCTTTCAAAAGGACCCGTTAAAAATCCCTAATCAAGCCAGGTCTCCGACCAGCTCCGTTTGAAAGGCTGTCTTTCAAGCAGGACTCGATTTTGCCCTACAGCAAGGGATGTTTTGAAGTTTAACGTCACTTTTTCGCAGTTGACGATAGGGCGAACTCAGGAAACGCGCTGACACCGTTCTTAGGATAATCAAGCACTTCTTGATGCTGCTTTACTGCCGTAGAAGTCGCTATCATTGAATTGCTCAAGGTGCCTCAAGTAGGTTATATGCCCAGATTTCAAAAGAAGCGAAAAGGGATCTGTAATGAAACAGTTCTATACAGTCGAACGGTTCAGCGTTCTCAATAAACCCAGAGCGAAGTTTGTGTACCATTTCTACAAAAAAGATAAGCTGTTGAATGATAATGAATGGATGGCAGTTCCGCTCAAAGAACGATCGCCGTTCGGGTCTATATTTTGCGCTCAATGGACACGATTATAAACCCTCAGATACACGCTGTTAAAAATGGATTTTACGATGAAAAAGCACCTCATTAGAAGTAAGTTAGAGCTGTTCAGTGGTAGGTATGAAGAAAATAGGCATGGCAGAGAAAGCAAGAACCTGAGAAATGGGGATCCTCCCGGAAGTTGATCCGCATTAATGCAACTCTCTCGATGCTCCCTCTTCAAACGTACACCGCTCTCTCCTGTCAACGGCTAGAAGGTAGACGCACGAGAAGATTGAGTATCGCGCAAGATAGCGCCACGTGGAGAGCCATGCTGGATCGCCGGGGCCAACCCTTCGCTGCAAACTGCGTGTCGGTCCTCGTCCGTAGGGAATCCACTTGTCTCTTCACTGGGTAATTCCTTTTTAGAGACGTTCGACCTTATTGTGAATCCTTTAAATCGGAGATGAAAGCTAAACCAACATCAGCTTGCAGTCACAATGTTCGATACTTGGTCTGGCAGAAGCCTGATTCACTGAGCTCGCTGTCGATCCGATTTTGGTCAAGGCTCAACCGTTGTGCCGAAAAACACATAGCGAACAATTCTGACCGTTTTCTACGCGTGCGGCCGTTGAGCACTTCAGCGTCGAATGAATTTGTCTGTGTTACTTTACGTTCTGCACCAACAATTTCACAGTGATTTGAGTGAGGAGAAATTCACTATTTTTCTTCATTTTGTACAGATTCTCAAGGATTTCCCTATGCACACAGACAGATCGTGACTTTCACTTCTAAAGAAAATAAGAAAGGCGAAAGGAAGGGCTCTCTCCTCAGGGTTTTTCCATTCACACCCGAAGAATTCGGGAGTGGGCGAGTTCGATTGGAGACGGTATCTTCCCCAACACAACGAACACGCCGTAATCGCCTCAATGTGGACCTCCTGACCTACACCATTTTACTATAACTTGGATTTTGAAGTCCAAAAACGCAATTTTAACCAAATATTTTGCAGAAAAACCAAAACCGCGCTCCACCTATCACCAATATTTTTAAGTTCCCGAGTATGATTTTACTGCAAAGCATAACATTGATAGGATGATTTAGGCACCACAGCACACCTACACCGAGCTCACCTACGTCACCCAATCTGATTACCACTACTGGCATGAGCGCGATTGGTTTGTTGATGATCGAATGGTCCAAATCGATTCCAGCATATCAACAACTGCCACTACCAGACAAGGTACGATGAAAACGTCGAATTACAAGATGATACTGACGGTTCATATTACGACCACAAAGGCTATACCAAAAACATGGTTTTTATTCATGTGTCTCGTTACTAGCTAAGGAAGGAGCCTTTGCTTTTTGTACATGAGAAGCAAAATTGCGAAGCCGTTCAGTTAAGAAAGTGCAAAAAAGTCAAGGGGAGGCAGAAATAATTCCAAGGACAGGGAAAGGTCAAATAGGTACGGCGTGAAGAAAGGAATGTTCAATTACAATGACAGAAAAACGTGCAGTGCCTGGAGCACCGGGATTAGGTTCAATCATTGTTTCTTGGAGCACCGGGATTAGGTTCATCATTCGTTTCTCCCTGTTGAATCAAGTGACCTCTGATTAGGACACCTCTGATCTGTTCGTGCCAGGTTCAAGACTTGACCCTTTAGTCTAGCTAGGCTTTAGTTCATCGGTCTGCAGATCCTGAAGATCTAGTTTTTCGTCAGAAAAGAAATGTCTGCGCAGGGATTGCGCATTCACGCAAGGAAAAGTAAAAAGAGACTTGTGACGGTGAACTAAAGAAAGAGCATGGCAATGAGCAGATAAGTCATTCCTATCAAGTCGTTCACATTTATGTTTTGTTTTCAGCTGGCTCTCCTTCGACACTCCGCAATCACCTATCCCAGCCTGATCCACACTTTCTTCTCTCCAGACCATGGACCTGACACCATCGTCTTTCCAAACGGTGCCTTTTTCGACCGGACAGCACGTGAATACCTCAAAGGTTTGTTTCAAAGCTTTCACGGTTATTTATGCTTCATTTTATGTATAAACACTTTTTTTCACAAGATTGAAGAGATCTCTTCAATGACGACGGTCATGATAGCTCACACAGATGAAGCTTTTCTGAGCCGACATACAATAGTACCCATCCCCACCCCGTCCACATGGTGTAGTAACGTGCATAGGTTTCCTGTAAAGGCCACGCTCCGCGATTAGGCGCGCTCACATATTCCATCCCAAGGGTACTAGGCAGGCGGACAAGTGTTGATGTCGCGTCTCTTCTGCCGCTTGAAAGTGCGCGACAAAGGCGCAGTGCAGACTGTCCGGCTCCCGCAACGCCCACAGCACACTTCGTCGCAACGCGCCGCCCCTCCCCTTGGGTTTTTTTTTTTTTTTTTTTTTTTCCCGGGGGGGGTTGCCACGTGGCGCTGCTTGAAAAGCGCGGGCGCATTTGAGGCAGTGGTCCAGCGCGATCCAATGTTATTGACACTGGAGCGAGTAGAGTTAGGTTCGTGAAACTCGTCCAATTCGCCTCTTCTCTATCCCAAGGTGGAATGTGGCTGAAATAGGAGAGGTCTCTGTACGGGGCTTAATCGATGGATTGCTTTGCTTTCCTTCGCTTTTACAGATCACCTCCCACCTACACCTCCATAATAGACCGCTTTTCCACGCCTATTTTATCCGGAATTTTGTCTTTGAAGGAGGAATTCACAATTAGAATGGGAAGGAGTAATTACCTAGTTGAGGGACCCACGGACCTCCTGAGGGTGCGAACTGATGCGCAATTCGCATCGAAAAATTTGACCTCGGCGACCTATTATGCCTCAAAGTTGGCGGGTCCGGCGATCTCCGCCCACCGACCAGCTGATCACTCGCCGCAGGTCTATACGTGGCGAATGATCAGATAGCAGAGAGAGCGTGATGTTGAGGAGGGCACCAGTGAAAGGCGGTCGAATCAATGCGCAAATCAGGGAATTAAGGGTTTCCCCCCCAAACATTTTTTTAATCCGCGGGTTCTGAGCCGCGATTTCTCATGGTTTCCTATCTTATCGGTATCACTCATCATCCCTCAGGTTAGTTTGAAATGGACGCTGTGCTTTTTCATCTATGTGAATTCACTCCTTCAAACGCCAGCCCACGAATCAGGGATGTGGAGTGAAGTCCCTTGGCCGCCGGTCGAAAGTAGCGTAGAATCAGAAAGCCGTTCCAGGTATGTACGAACTTCACCAAATTTCACACACGAAATTGCAGCGGGGAGGGCGCCTTAAGGCATTGGTTTTCACAGGGGAGCTTCAACATGCACCAGGAGCTCTTTCAACAATTGACGTGATAGGGCAAATCCGCCCTCAATCGTGCCCATGCTCTTCATCACCGATTCCTTTGCCGCTCCATGACGTACATTATCTCCGACCTCACTTTCTGTTTCTTGGAAACTTTCACAGCTTAGAGAAAATGGCTTCTATTCTCAATGTTTTCCTTATTTTATTTTGACTTTTCTTCACTATCGGTCCATTAAGCACCTCTACCTTCATTTTCGAGCGAAATAACTAAACCAGTTTGATCCTCGGGTGTGTGCCTTCAACCTAAATATCCCCGTAGCAGAGGCTCTTAATTTTTGGGTAAACTCTTTCACATGTCATGTTCTTCGTCTCATACCCTGCTGAATCATTGCCAACATTTTTTTGTCTTGGAGTTTCTTTACCATTTTTTAGTGACAATGCTCCATTAGCCACCACTTATTTGCTTGGTAAAATGCATTTCAGTTATTACCGTTGTCGTGATAGCTGCTTTCGAGCTGACTTCAGTTCCTTCCAAAATCAATAAAATTTTCAGGCCTGTCGGATTTAATCGAAAGAAATACCAAATGCTCGACCAATTGTTGAAACCTATGCGTGAAATGCAATATCGATCTCACCGAATTTGCCGCCTTCAAGACGATATTCTTCTTAAATCCAGGTATTCCTTAAATCAGTGGAATTCTTTGCGTCTTTAGATAGAAATATTACTTACTCTACTAAGAATCAATGAACTTCAAACATCCCAGCAGTTGATTGCAAAAAGGATCAGTAGCGTTCACTTATGAGCTGCAAAAGTGAGCATAATTTGGAATGGTGGAAAATGCAATTTATGACTAGTAAAGTAGTTTCGGAAATATAGAATTTTCTATGCCTTCGGAGAAACCAAGGCTCAATGAGCGTAACTTGGAAAAGACTTCAGTATTCTGAATATGCTCATTCAACGCGGAATGCTGTATTACCGAAAGCAATGGTATTTTCAGACGCTGATGACGTTAGTGCAGCTTCAAAACCAAGATTAAGCGAAGGAAGAAGCGCTATCACGAATGCACTGTATCGCTATATGTTACGCAAGAGAGACGCTGAAGAGGCTGGTGACAGGTATGCAAAAGTTTAGACGTAATTGTATAAACTTTATGGTAACTCACACAGGGCGGCTTCTCACTAAAGGTCCAGGTTGTTGGTAACAGACCAGAGCTACTAATTGCCCGGAGGCCCGGAAAACTTCAGAGTGTGCTGGAAGAGTTCTGCCAAAAGGACCAGTGTTCTCCCACCTGCTGGGAAATTATCTTTTTTCTTAAAGGCACCGGTCACGATTGGATACTTAGAGCAGTTCACAGCGTGGGTAGGCACAGGGATTGTAGTAATGTTTGTTTAGCACTGTGGCTCAGAAAGTGCACGACAAGTGTTAAGACTTGTGCTAAAGCCTTACGTTGGCAGCCTTCTGTACAACGTGCTCTCTCACACGTTCTCTCTTCTCGCGGCGCTGTCTCTGCCCGTCGTACACGGTCGACCATACAAAAAGGGAGGTCCTAAATTGCAGCACATTCTGAGGCTCATTTTGTTCGTTTTTTCTCGGCAATGGTCCTCTTCGTCACCTCTTTTTTTGCGGAATAACTCACCAATTCGATCGGCCCTCAAAGTCAAGTTTAGAATGATCACAAAGTAACGTTCAAGTCAGGACCTAACTTATTGGTGATCTCATTGCTAGGAAAGCGGTACTGGTGACATTCACGCGCCAACAGGTCATGTGCAGCACTCCTGCATGCCTTTACCCCATTTTCGAAAGCCCCTTCGACTACCGATCGGTCGCAGATATCATTTTTATCATAGTTCGCAGATATCAATCTCATGAAACATAGGTGAAGAAGTTCTTACATTTTGCCAGTCATGACTGTGCAAAAAACTTCCCACAATTCTAGTGGTTTCAAACTTCACCAGCAAAACGCCTTCTGATTATGTATCGCTAGGCACAAACAGATTACCTGCCGCATTCGAGGTGACGCGAAAAAAGGTGCTGCGATCTTCGAACAACAAAATGCCGACCAATTTTGTCGTCCGCGACGAGGGAAAATTCCAGTTGCCCGCGCAGTGCG